GAGATCTCCCAGCGCAGCGCTGCGGTTTGAGGGGACCCCCGGGGGTCGGGGGGGTGCGGCCCCCGGGGGGGTGGCAGCTGCCGCCCCGTGGTGCCCCCCGGTGCCACCGTGTCCCCTTCCTGCCCTTGGCGCGGGCTGGCGCCCAGCCCGAAATAGCAGCGGTGTTGGTTTCCGATCCGGAAGGTGCTTGGGGAGGGGGAGGAAGATGCCGGGAGGGGGGGGATCGGCCCCGACAGCATCCCCCAGCTGCCGGGGTCACTCAGCTCCTCACGGGCACCCCGCCGGCCGCGGGAGGGGCGGGGGGTGGGCGCCGCGCTGCCTCAGTTTCCCCCAGCACCCCCCCAAACCGCCCTGTGCGCCAAGGGCCGAGCGGGGTGGGGTGACAGTGTCCGTGCCTCTGTCCCCTCCCCAGGCGAATGTTCCCCTTCCTCAGCTTCAACCTGTCGGGGCTCAACCCCGTGGCGCACTACAGCGTCTGCGTGGACGTGGTGCTGGTGGACCAACACCACTGGCGCTACCAGGGCGGCAAATGGGTGCAGTGCGGGAAAGCCGAGGGCAACATGCCAGGTACGGGCCCTCCATCCCGTGCTCAGCCTCCTGCTGCTGCCGGGAGCGGGGCTGACGCTGTCGCCGCTGTCCCCTCCCCAGGGAACCGCCTGTACCTGCACCCCGACTCGCCCAACACGGGCGCGCACTGGATGCGGCAGGAGGTTTCCTTCGGGAAGCTGAAGCTCACCAACAACAAAGGAGCCTCCAACAACGTCGGGCAGGTGAGGCGAGGCTCCTGCCTCCGTGGCAGCTCCCTGGGACCCCCCCACGACCGCTCGCTGTCTCATTTTACCCCCCCAGATGATCGTGCTGCAGTCGCTGCACAAGTACCAGCCGCGGCTGCACGTCACGGAGGTGAAGGAGGGCGAGGGGGAGGACGGGTACCCCTCCCCGCACACCCACACCTTCGCCTTCCCCGAGACCCAGTTCATCGCCGTCACCGCCTACCAGAACGCCGACGTGAGTACGAGACACCCCCCCGCAAAAAAAAAAAATCCCCCAACAGCGCAAAAACTCCAGCAACCCCCTCAGCATCCTCCCAGAAACCAGGCAGGATATCCCAGTGCCAGCACAGCCCCCCAAAACCGCGCCAGAGCAGCCCCGTTAACCCCCCAGCATCATCCAGGGTGTCCAGCTTCGGGTGGCCTCCCCCCTGTCTGCCAGCACCTGCAGCATCCCTGCCACCTCAGCATCCCAGGATCTTCCCCTGCATCCCTTCAGCATCCCAGAAGCCTTCCATGCACCCTCAGATTTCCAGAGCTTCCCCCTGAATCCCTTCGGCATCTCAGGATCTTCCCCTGAATCCCTTCAGCATCTCAGGATCTTCCCCTGCATCCCTTCAGCATCCCTTCAGCATCCCAGAAGCCTTCCATGGACCCTCACATTTCCAGAGCTTCCCCCTTGGATCCCTTCGGCATCCCAGCATCCCTCCCAGAACTGTCCCACAGCATCCTGCAGCATCCCAGGATCTCCCCCTGCATCCCTGCAGCATCCCAGGATCTCCCCCTGCATCCCTGCAGCATCCCAGAGCCTCCCAGTGCCCCCAGATCCCCTCAGATCCCCAGAGCCTCCCCCTGGATCCCTTCAGGCCACCCCTGGATTCCCCGCTACCCCCCAGGACCGTCCTACAAACCTAGCACCCCCTGCCCTGGCAAAGGGTGGGATTCCGGTGGGATGGGGGCAAAGGGACAGGGGGGGGACACCCCGGAGGAGGAACAAGCTGCCGGCAGCCCCCCCAACCCCACGTCCCCCCCAGATCACCCAGCTGAAGATCGACCACAACCCCTTCGCCAAAGGATTCCGGGACAACTTTGACTCGTGAGTGCCACCCCCTCTCCTCCCTCCCGTGCCCCCCCGGTGCCCTCCCGGCCTCACGAGGCTGGAACAACCCCCCAAAACCTCACGGTGTGCCCCCCCCCCACCGCAGGATGTACGCGGCCTCGGAGAGCGACCGCCTGACGCCGTCCCCGCCGGAGGCCGCGGGCTGCCAGCAGCTGCTGCCGGCCCCGCGCTTCCAGCCCTTCGTGCCCGAGCAGTACCCGCTGCCCCCGGGCCGCTTCTTCGGGGGGGACCGGGGGGCTGCGCTGCCCCTGCCCCCCAAAGACCCTCCCCACTGGTACTTCCCCCCGCAGCAGCCCCCCGGCCCCGGCGCGCTGGAGTACGGCGGCTACGACGGGGGGTACGGGGGTGGCAAGCTGGTGCCCTACGGGGTGAAGCCGCTGGCGCTGCCGCCCGCCCCGCACCCG